CAAGATGCATAAATCGGGAAGAAATCCAAGGATAGTTGCTGTATATCAAATGAATATATACAAATGAATAAAATAAACTTGAAATTTGTTTTTCCATAATTGATTGTAGTTATTACGCACATGTTTGTCGTTTCTCGCAATTGAATGTTCATTTCGAATGAATGATTGTATAGAGGCGCAATTGATTGTTCTTCTCTATGGTAATTTTGTTATTGAATGTCTCTTATGCACCATTGATCGTCAATCGATGCAATTGATTGTATCTTGGTATTAATGATTGTTAATTCAGCGAGATTGAAAGTACGTATGTTATCTTTGATTGTCTAAAGATGCAATTGTTTGTCTGTTAATGCTATTGAATGTCACTGATATGTAAATTACGTAATTGAATGTTTCTTGGCGTTATTGAAACTTAAGATAATGTTAATGAATGTCTTTTCGCCCTGTTGTTTTTACAGCTGACTTAGATGAATGTATATTTTGCGCAAATGAACAGCAAAAGGTGTATTACTTCTGATTGAAAACATTGGAGCTTGCAAAAAAAAAAACAAGAACTCGAATTCGCTCAAGTTCAATTTCAATTTTTTCCTCGGAAATCAACTTCAACTTATCTGCGCTCGGCTTCGAGGACATTCAATCCCTAATCTCCCTCAGAGCCATGCTATTACTTATGATAATGTCATATTAAATACATACCTTGAAATAACTTTCCATGGCTGCCAGGAAACACTTGACTATAGGAGTATTCGTAACTTGGTCACGCCTTATATTGAGTGATTTTAGCTTTTCGCCTGAGAGTGTCTCGATTTCTTTACATAAACCCTGCAGAAAGAAATTGAGATGCTGTGTTACTACCAGTCAAAAACGTATTTCCCGATTAGAATTTGCTTATTTGCCATGTACTTACGAATTCAATTATCAGATGGTCGTTAGACAAGGCTGTTGTACTTACCAATAAAGCCATTTGGCAGGGAGGGTTACTGATGTCCAAACTATTGTCAAACACTGAATTCCCAGCACATTTATAGTCCGTGAAATGGCAATCAGATCGATCTTGGTTTTGAAGTCCCCACACCACGTATACACTAAAAAATTGATCTTCTTCGCTAGGATTGAATGAATTATCTCGAAGTCGTCTTACATCATACCAGTTTGAACCTGGTCCCATAAAATCAATCTGGAAATGTAAATCGAATTTTCTTAATAATTTGAAACTTCGTCGAGGGTTTGTATAACCATCGAGAATTCTCCCAAAAGAATTATAAATCGCTGTTATAGATACTTCCAAAGTATTCTTATTGCAGAAAAACGACCATGACTTTYCAAATCTATTTCGATTAGTCGAGGGAGACAGGACTGAAGCAACTAAAGAGATAACCAGCTCACCTAACAAATATTTAGTAGCCTATTAAATCACAATGACTCTCTCAATAAAAAATAAGCGCAGAGAAACAATTAAAAAAGACAGCTCAACCGTCTTAGGCCCTGTTTACATGAGATAGGGCTAACTCCTTTGTTTTCTTTTCCTTGGAGGATTGAAAACAAAAGAGTTTGGCTCTACACCTAGGGGCACCCTATCTCATGTAAGCAGGGCCTTCTCACTAAATGCGTCTGATAAGCCAGTTAGATGCATGCTTTTTAAATGCGCTTAACAAGCGCCAATATGCAATAAATTATCGACAAAGGAATTGATAATTACCTGGTCTTCGTTAGGCACTAGCTGTACAGCGAATGAAATCGATACACTTATAACAGCAACGCCAATCGACATCACTACCCAACGGAGTACTTTATGGCCAATAACAGATGAATAGAACGTCTCTCCTAGGAATGCAGCAATCTTCTGTGTTGGATCCACCGATTGTCGGATATTATTCTGTTCTGCCACTCCCTCTCCATCACTTGGACTGGTTTTGTTTTTAAAGTATCTAAGGGAAGGCCATTTCCAGTCTTTCCAATAAAGTTCGTAAGTTATTAGCACAGTGGGAATRAATACGATGACCGAGATGTAATTCACCATTACAATCAAAGCAGAGAACACACCAAAACTTGAGACTGCAAGAAGTGGGGAGAGAACGTTTGTAAGAAATGCAACGAAGGTTGTTATCGATGTAATTAGCATTGCTTTTGCAGCATGGTTGTACGTGAAAGAGAATCTCTCGAGTATTGTCGGAAATCCTTTATCCCTGGAGCTTCGCCACGTATCATAAAATACGAAGACGTCGTCTGCTCCGATGCCTGCGATGATAAACACAGTAAGGACGTGAAAAATCCCAATATAGCGGTAGTCTAGGAGTATACGATAGATAATATTCGCCCCAAAAAATGAAGAAAAAATGCTAAAGATGCTCCATCCGGTAATCCACAAGGACTGTGTCTGTACGATCATGAACACAAAGATGAAAGCAAAACTGCCAGCGACAAGAAACAAGTCCCAGATAACTTGTCTTTGTATGACATTCATCACAAGAGAATTCATACGATAATAGATTTTCAGTTTTCCAAGACCTTTCTTGAAAGTGTTGTCAAGTATACTCCCAAAGGCATCTCCAGCCAGTTCTCGGCATTTCGCCAGCTGCTCATTTTGTCGATCATGAGTACTTTTGAATCCCTCAAAAGGGTTGCCAGTTAAGAACATAGACCTTAATGCAGAGGCCGTTGATACGGTTGTAGTTATTTTAAAGTCATTGGAAAAATGGTCCTTTGCCGTGGGCAACATCAATATGGCAGTTTTCAGCACATTCGAAATATTTGTGAAAAATGGGTCAAACAAATTGGGATGTAAATTACTATACGTTCCGTCAAAGAAGCGAATAATTGAGGAGGGTTTTGTACATTTTGTGTTGGGCTTCAGCAGACAAAGTTTATTCTGATAGACAGAGTTATTGAAGAGCGACTCCTCAAAGTTCTGAATCTCTTTAAGGTTCTCTGTTGTAAGAACATTTTGATTGTTTTGTTGTTGGTAATATATTTCAAGTGGATCATATCGAGAACTCCTCAATGCTTCTTTGTGGCCACTGGGATTTTCGAAGCTCCAAGTGACCCTTGGATCAGAAGTTACAAATTTCCAGGCRTCTCCTTGTAGTTTGATATCACTGTTTTCTAGTTTCATAGGAAGCTCGGAAAGGTCTAATGGCAGTATATCATAGCCAGAAGATATCATCAGACCAGTGGCGAGTACAGCTACAACATGGCAACCAAGAGCTAGAGCTGTTAGCATAAATACGAAAAGTAACGCTAAGATTTAGGATATTATTTTTATGATCCACGAAGATAGTAATATGCCCCCCCTCCCACAATCATCAATCTCCCTCCCCCCCCCTACACACAAACACACACAAATCCTATTGAAATTATGGCGTAGCAGGTCGAGTGAATAAAAAAGAAAATGAACTTAAACTTCCATTAACTTCCAAATGTTTTTCAGGCTGTCATATTCAAATTATGTATGAAAAAAGGGAAATTGACTAAGATTGGTTTTTATTAGCTCGCCAATTCAATTCAATTTCAATTCAATTTTAGTTTATTCACACTTTTCTTATCATTATTTACATTCAYGTTATTTTATTTTATTGAATATTTCTAATGTAATTTATAATACATCATTAATTTGAATAAGTGTACGGCAACCAAAGGAGCTAAAATGCTTTCGAGTTGGTTGCCGTAATTGTCAATTATGGGTCCAAAAAATAAGAGATAAGTAAGGAAATAAGGAAAAGGGAATTAGAGGGAAAAGAAAGCTGAGAGGAAGGAATATTATACATTAAATGATGGGGTTTTTTTTGTTTTTTTTTTTAATATCAAGAGAACTAATTATATTAATTATATTATGCTGAATTAGATAATTGTTTCTTGCAAACATGTTTATAAAACTTATTAATAATGCATAAGCTATTGCTCCAATAAGGGCTGACCATTTAATCAGGTGATTGACCTTGTAAATCTGATACAACCACCAGTGTTGTATCAGATTTACAACACGGTCGTCACCATTGAGACAACCCAACACTAGCAAAGGTCTCAGTTTTAGTGTYGCATCATAGACCTTCACTAGGTTTTGAAGCAATCAAAGACGGATAACAGAACTCCTTTATGCAACAGATGGCTTGCTTTCCATGTGGGATGGATAATTATTCAAAATGTTCTGTGTTGCAGTAAATTACGCATGCTTAATAGGGACTAAACTCAGCAGTTACCTTATTTGTCATTTTTCGTCATTTATCTCACTGTAATTCATGTTAATTTGTGTTGGAGTTTTATAAGTCGTTTACAACATGAGCGGCCGCGTTGTATGGGAATTACAATCTCGATCCGCAGGCGTACATAGTCAATACTTATTTGAATGTGTACTGATTATTGGTTGTTATAGATTAGGTAATCCTTATTCATGCRTTTTAAGGATGTATAAGGAAGGCCTTTGAATGAATATGGTACTGTTTCCCAGACCTTGGAGCTAGTGTATTTGAAAGTGAATTTACTGTAGTTTGTGCGTCTATAGAGATTGTTGCTGGATGCCAATCYTGTATTATAATGATCCACAGTTGAGATAGGTACAATCGAGTCACTGAATATATCRTATGAGGTTAYGGACTTGTTAATTATTTGGTGTGTAAGCAGAACCACTCTCAATTTGTAAACATTTCGATCTGCAGGATGCCTAATAGTTTGAAGTACGGATTCGGATCATTGCATCTATTCAAGAAAAAAATGCATCTGATACATTTCCTCAGTTGAGAAGATAATTTACTAATGCTAGTTTTATAGATAGCTCCCCAACTCATAATTACATAGTTTATATAAGGAAAGATTAAAGAACAAGACGCTTGTCAGCGTGTACTCGGGGTTCTTTTTAGTGTAGTCTCTTGGTTTAATGATACAATATAGAATATGTAGTTTCATTTATTCTTGCCGTGACCAAAAAATATAATAAATTCTCAGTCCAGTTGATAGCATAATAATTAAGACTTATATAATTTTGACTTGATAAATTTACCGCAATTAATGCAAAGAATAATAAAAAACTTTAATTATCAAATATGATAAAGTAAAACTAAAAATCCTTCCTTGGATTGAAAATAGTAAAAAAAGAAAATGTATTAATATTATTATTGTTGACCAAGAATTGTCCTTACTTTGACAGACATTTGGTCCCGGATTTGGTCTAACGCAAATACCATTCACTGATCCTTTGTTTGCAATCCTTCGTTATTTCACCTGTACAGTTTTGTTGACAATCGGCACTTGAGTCTATTGTTCTTTTATAGTAGTTAGAGCTTTGAATATCAGTAGCTTTTAAGATAGAAGGCCTGTAGTTTATGACTGGCTTTGGTCGGCTTTGGATAGATTAAAATGGCTTGCGTATCATAACTTAAGTCACAATAAGCTTGATTTATTCGCGGTATTTTTCAAAAAGCCCATTCCGAAAACGGTCGACATCCTTTAGTGTGGCTATACCGCGTGTGGATTTGTGAGTGATTTGAGCGTATTTTTTGAGAAGAAGAAATACCATAAGCCCATCGACGAAGAAGCTGATGCAATTAGCACTTGAAGCATGGGACGAGACAAGACAGGCTAGGAACGCCTGGCTAGTCTGGCCGCGATTTGGCGATGAATGCAAAAAAAAA